GCAGTTTAAAAGACTTAGCATTTAATATTAATCCACAGTAGACAATTTAATAATGTTGCATTCAGTGAAAAGTGCTTCAGCGCAGTTTAAAAAAAATAAGCGCAACTTTCTACTTGTCCGGAGACAATTCGCATTCTTCCACAGATTTTATGCCGCAATTCTAGAATTAAAAGCAAACATCTAGAAATGAAAATCGAATTCAAATTCAAATGAATACTAACTTTATTACGTATATTTCAAGTACATACTTAGGACAACGCTGTTACTCTTGCTTTTTCTATGCTATGACAACACTGTCACTATTACGTTTTTTTAATATTACTAACTGTATATATTACTAACTGTATGCATTCATATATTGTAAATTTTCCTTCATTTTCTAGTAACTATATTAGTATACTTCTTTTTTTTCATTAATTTGAACAGTCTTAGCAACTTATAATTACATTACAAACAATTACCAGTAAAAACAGTTTAAAAGTTATAAAATTGCACCGTACGCAAAACAGAAAATTACATATCTCACAAATTTTTAGATATTAATTGCACTGTACTAGCAATATTGCATTCTTTCAGTAGCATTAACAGCACTGTATTCTTCTAATTAATTAAATTTTTATAATCTTAGACTGCAAAAGACAGTGGATTTGAATATTCTCATTTTGCAAATTTGGTTACACAGCTTTCTTAATATAATTAATTTTATTATGCATTTATTTTATTAGTAGAATATTAATGATATTAGTGTATCAGTGTATGAAAGTATTAATGTGATTAGTGGTTTTGAGTATTAATTGTAACTGCATTATTTTATTAGACTATTAATTTTGCTAACTCACGTGTTCAAGACATATTCCATTTCTAATTACATACTTAAGACAACAGTATTAGTCTTGCATTTTTTATTTTAGTATTAGTGCATCCTTTTCGTAACTTCAGTTAGTGTATTTCCATGCTGCAATATTTATCATATTCGTGTGTCACCGTAATGCAAACTGTGTCGATCTGAAGAGTCTGACACTGAGAAACACGCAGAATCAGAGATTCCTACCCCGAATCATAAATTTCAGACCTTCCGACTTCCAGGTAGTTGTGCTCCTAATTATACCGCAAAGACACGGGATAAAGAGGAAGAAAGTACCTCATATTCTCCCCCACTTAAAAGAAGACCGGGAAGGTCGGAAGCCAGCCGCCAACCTGGGTATTGAAGAATTATCATCCATCACCTTTTAGTTCAGGAGTCACATTTAGAAAACATCTAGAATTTTTAGGAACAAGAAACATGAGAAAGTCAGCAATACTCTCACTGACATTTCGAACTCTGAACCTCTCGATTGCTAGCCTAACGTGCTTCTAATAACACTACGAAATCATGCGGTGAGGAGGTAGAAAATACCTTACATTTTTCCCCACTTTAAATACAATTGATGAAGAGGAGACCTAATCCCCAAATCCTGGTGGGGAGGAAATATCGTCTACCATATTTCTTAGTTAATTCGCCACTATAGAGAGATTTTGGACTTATATGAAGCCGAAAAACATGAAGAATCACTTATGCCTTCTCCGGGACTCGAACTCCGAACTTTCCGATTGCCGGCCGGACGTACTTCCAATTATACCCCAAAGGCATGCAGAAAAGGAGAAAATGTCTTACAAATCATGTATTTAATATATTATTAATTGTACTATATTATATATTATTAATTATTGTTAATTCTATTGTATGTCTCAGTGTGTTGTTATAATAAAATTCATTGTATGTTCTTTTAACATAAATTTATTAGCGTAATCTTGTATTGAAAAGTCTAATGCGTTAATACATTCATGCATTGTGAACTAAATTAATTTATTATTGTATTGTGTTTTTAAGCGTAAAACTTGTAATCAGTATTCATAATTGTGCACTCGAGCAAATTGAAATTTGAATAGTATTTGAATTTTGGATGAAACATGTAAAGTATTCAAAAATAATAAGAGTGTTGTGCATTTGATATAACTAAGTTCTTTTAAAGTTAGCAATATACTTATATAACAATGTAATCTGTATAAGCGAGTATGAGTATGTATATCCGTATAACTATGCACAATTTTCAACCGCTAGGCACTGAATAACGTTCCTGTATGCCCATGCGAAAACATTCCAATTTATATATGTATACTATTCGAATTGCCGATCCACTTATAACTGGAGTTTGGCAGGTAGTGGATATACTTCGTGAAAATAGCAAAAAATCCTGTTTGGTTCATATCCGTGGTCAAGAGCTATTTTCATGCCGTACTATTACATCTACTTCTACTACATGTTTCAGAGGCTAAAAGAATGCGAGAGCATCCCTCAAGAGAATGTTTCGGAATAGATAAATGTAGAAAACAATAAGGCAAATTTTTAGATCTTCAGTAACGAAGGAATCGTTCGTTACGTAGATCTGGCGAACAACAAGAAACTGCAGTGATGTGAGTAATGCTGAGGATAATAATGAAACAGAAATAAGCAATGTAAAAATTAGCCGTGCTGCAACCTTGATTTTAGTTTTTCTGATTATGGCAAAGCATACCAGAGCTATCTACCTAAAGGGAGGATGCCACTGTGGATGATATCCTTGAGAAAAATTTTCGTATTGAAAATAATTATACTACGACAACTTCCACGAAAGTTCTCACGAAGCTAGACCATGCACTACGATTTAAACCTAGATTGAAATACCAACATTCGGCGGCTTTACCGACTCTACCACCGCTGGAAAGCTCGGAATCCTTGAGCAAAGCACCTTAATATTTAAAGCAATACTTTATGGTGTTTTTTTATTAGTCGTAGTATTTGATTGTAACAGAAAATAGCTTAAGAAAAAAGTAACATTTCATAAAAATTTATGTCAAAATTTCAACAAAAACTTTACAGTTTGCGTTAATTTGGGTTGAGTTTGTTCATATGAGATTTTTATAAGTATTTTTGCCACGAAGTAAAATCTTTCTTGTTACTTGGATCGATTTTTTAACTAGAGAAAAAAAAATTATCTAGTAATAAAAATTGGTAAAATGCTAATAGCACACTTGCGCACTTAACTTAGGAATCTGAAATAAACAATTTAAAAAAATGTGACGGAAATAAATTTGGCATGCTTTAAAATTTAGTCCCTATTAAACAAGCTTTTGATTATCTGAGGTACTTACCATCCCAACCTTTATCTCGGATAATGTAGGTTTTACTGTATATTTCAAAAATTTCCTGATGGCATAAAAACAGGCATGAAAGTTAACACAGGCTGTTAGAGGCTTTTAACATTTTACGTATTTTGTTGTCTTTCTGAAATTCCAAAAATATTTAATAGTAATTTTCCTTGCTTTTTTTTAAAAATATTCCTTAATTCAAAACGATAAAATTAATGTTTTATTTGACCCTCCTAGCGTTACGTATTTAGCCATGAAATTTCAAAGTTCCTCAAAATGTCATGAATAAATGGTATTTTCTTGATTAAAATTAAAAAGAGACCCTCTCACTTTGTACCCGATCCCTTTTCTTCCAATATACATCCAAGCTATATCGGATGCATTAAAAACTGGCAGAAATTTTCATGCTTAATGAATAAGAAAGCCACTCTTCTATACGGAATTTTACGTCTATAACGCTGAGAGGGTTGAAGTATGCTCATGATCAGAAAACAAAGAGAAGAAACGCGATAAAAAGTGGCTTGCATATCTTCTTCTCTACATTAATTTTCATTATAGTTTATTCTAAAATTAATCACATTTGCTTTTAAAGAGTAAGACTGAGTTACTTGTATTAAGCATTCAATCAAGTTTGCGCATAATTTTAGTATTTAAATGCATAATATTTATCTTAAGAAAATTATTATACAATTAATATATAAATATAAATATTGATGACAAAATGTTGATATAGTACAATAATATATACATTCATAAAGGACATACATACATAAATTTATAAATATGCATAATGATCTTTTAAGTTATTTTATATAATATGGATAAATACAACGAGCACCTAAATCTTTGCGCATATTATGCATGTTTAAATCAAGCATAAGACAATGCCTTCCAAAACTTAGAGAAGCCATTGAAAGAAATCCCTTATCATGGATATACTTTTGCATTAATTACGAATATATACTTTCAGAAACCTAACCGTCAACAGAGACATAAAAATTAAAATGAAGTTAATTAGAAATAAGTAACCTGCTTCTTAATTAAGAATTCATGAAAACTATTCAAATGCATGTAGTATATGAAAGACTTTGAGGTCAAAATTATGCGATAAATAGCTTATCACGGCTCCTTCTTAAAATCCATACCATGTAGAAAACTTTATGAAAGCGAGTGCATAGTCTTCTTCAATCTACTAGGATTTCAAGCTATAATTACACTTGATACCTTGTCGTTGCATCTCTGAAACTTAAAAGAAATTTGAGAAGAAGGTATTTAAGATAATTACAAGCGTAGCATATAAAAAAGGCGTTGTAAATTTAGTAATAAATCAAACATTTACTTTGCAAAGAAGAAGAGAATTTTCATGAACTTTTTTTAAGTTTACTTATAACTTATTTTAAAATGAAAGTAATAATATATATCGATTTTATAGCATGCGATGCGGGAACACCTAAGAGTTTAATCAAGCGCAGTATATGTCTTGTGCATTCTTCTTTGACTGTTCTCTCAGTACTGTTCTTTTTTTGCTTTTTGTACGTTAGTGTTAAATATCCTTACATTTCTGGAATTTATTCGTTTGTTAACTATTGCTGAGTTGTTATTTTATTTCAAGTATTTTTATTATTATAGTTTACTTTAAGAAGAGAAATTTAAAAATGAAACTTTTAATTAGGGTATTCAAGTAGGTATTCAAACCTGGTCATTGTTTCAATCGATATGTGTCTTTTGCTTTTAAAAAAATATGTTTATCAATCATTTTCTTCAATAAACTTTTTTATTGAAAAACTACTGCAACTAACATCACTCTTACGTCTCTCCTTTACATTTAAAAGGTGTGGTGTATGAAATTCACGGCTACTTGGGGCTTGGTCTTGCTCTTTTAGCTGTGTGCTTCTGGTGGTGTTCCGTCTGGGGTGATGCCGAAGCCTGCCCGTGCGGTCCCTTTGAAGAATGCTTATTTGGATCTGGTTTCAATGCTGAGGTGATGAAAAAGGTTCTAGGACAAGCAATTGGCGGAGCAATCACATCTCTGTAAGTTTTTAAAACGTTCTACCGATTGCGTCGAATTCATCCTTAAACTGAGAGATGTAATAAGCGCTGAATTACAGCACTGCCATATCTTCCTATATATCCACATATTTACTGTAAATTTAACGTTTATCGAAAAGCATGAACAGCTTTATGATTTTCGTAAACATGCATAAACACAGAGTATATTTCTCAACAAATATTAAATTTTAAAACGATAATATTGTTTATATTACTATGAGAAATAGTTTTGCGTCAGCTAACATGAAGCGTTTTCAATTTGCTCATGTCCTAAATTCAGGCTATGTTTTCTATTCGGTTACAGTGTTAGAGAAACTCTCAAAATGTAAGAAAACATCATTAATCTCTCAGTTAAATGAAAGAAACATTCAAAAACCGGGTGTTTTACGTGAAATCCTACTTAGTTATCAAGTCTATAAATGATGTATCCAGAAAATCGAGCTTCAGCTATTTCCCATGGGCAAGTTATAATTTTCAAAATGTATCCTAGACTTCATTTTAATAATACCTGCATTTAATCATATTTATTATGAGGCATAACCAGCTTTTAAATAATGGATTAAAGAATGCAATAAATTCCATGATGAATCAGACAAATAATATGACAGAAAAAGCCAGGCAAATAATATGAATATCTGAGTTAGTTAAAAAGAATCCAGATTATCAATCAGAAAAAAAAATATATGTATGCATAAGTAAACGATATGTATATAAGTATGTAAACATGAATTAGCATTTCGAAACTGTTTTTGTACTTTTAACCAACCAAGCGAAATCTCCTCGGAATATTTATCATGTACAATGAATTCTTACGCTGTATAGGAATTAGACCTGATTATTTGATTACAGAAAACCACGCAGGGCTTTCTGCCTAAAAACAGGGAAGTCTTCGTGCAGAACCTATCTTGGAGAAACCGGTTGTATTCACGTTACACATGGAAGAAACCACGAAAACATTGATACAGTCATTCGCTGAGGTTCGAACCTGGTGTTAGATGTATATTTAATATTTGCATTTCTTTTTTTCTTCGCCTTATTTATTTTCTCACTGTTTATGTTGTGATTTTTACAATAACCTTGTTACTGGCAGCATGCTTTATTTTACTGTTGAGTTTGTGTGAATGGCAACAGTTGTTCATGTTTATGTTTCAGTAGAATAGCGTTCCTAGCCGTACTGGGCTGCAGGCAATCTTTCTGTTAAAGAATTTCCTGTTTTTAGAATATCAATGAAGTTTGTATACAAAGCTGATGCTTTTTAGTTCAAGGCAACTACCTGGGATGAACTACCCTTCTTCAGCGGTCTTATTCCTCGATAAATGGTTGACTACAGTAATTTTAAAGAATAGTTAAAGTTGAGCTTATGAACCCTCTGCATCAGCAGTACAATTTGTCTTTTCGTAATCCGCATTATAAAAGGCAATCAATTTAGTGCATCATTTTGGCCCATTAACGTACGTGAAAAATACCCTAAACATTACTAAAAACCAGTATTAATTCTTTGCAAAGCTCCGACTGGTCTTTTAGAAAACAGAAACTCGGTTTTCGAGACTACAGCAAGAGCAATGGATTATACTAACCAATATTCTGTTCTCTTCCTGATTAAGTTATTTCAAATGACAAACCTTAAAAATCAATCCTAAATTTTACAGATAGAGTTTTCTGTCTTTGCACAGTAAACTAAATAATAATACAGGAATTGCCACCAGATTTCTATATTGCAATCGACTTTCTTTATAAAATATTTTTGGTTATAATAAACAAAAATGAAAACTTAGTTGGAAAAGTGTTAAGTGTCGCTTTAAGCGATGCGTCCTTCTCTCTAAGGAGCGAGAGTGGAGGTTGAATCTCTGTGACTGGTTCTAAGGGGCGAAGGAACTCATTATGCGGCTCAGTCTCGCAGTGGGAGGAAGCCCTATATGTCTTACGTTTATCATTTACACCAAACTCAGTTTCCTCCCGAGGAAACCCTAGAGTCTCGGTTGAATCTGATTTACTATGAATCAAGAAATACAAATAGTGACTGTAACTCTAAGCAATTGTATAGAAGCTCAGTAAGTTAGAGACTTCCGTAGAAGAATCAATTAGCATCACTTTATCCTTAAGCAAGAAGATTTTTAAAACACAATAAATGCTTTTCAGAAATATTATATCTCAAGCATTAGAGATTTCTACCTTGAAAGGAAAATTAAAGGAATTTATTGTTAGGCAGCCTCAAAAAATATCACAACAATCCTTTGTAGATATTGTGATAGAATAAAAGATTCTTGAGAACAAAATCTTACAAAGAGGAGACAAAGTTAAGAAAAAAGAGGATATGTAAATTTGTTGTATCCTAAAAAAGGATATCTTCTTCTGGAGAAATTAAGATAAAAATTATTGAAACAATAGATCCTACAAAATTAAAAATAGGAATTAGAAGTTTTCAAAGGTCAATAATGGTGGTATAGTAGTTTAATGTTTCAATAAAAAAGATGTTACCGTTTTAGAAGACGAGATTAAAATTAATCCTTTGCTTAAGGAAGTGATTTATATGAAATCTCCGGCAAAGAAAAAGGCCTAAAATAAATATGTATGATACTGATGTTTAATTTAAAAGAGATTAAGTTCAAGATGCTGTAAAGAAACAGAATAAAATTTTTGAAGCTGGTGGAATAGAACTGTTATATTCAATCAAGGCTAAGTACACAAAAGTGCATTGGGTTACAACGGTACAACGTGAAAAGGTCAAAGCAATTATGAACTTCAGTTAATTTGAAATGGTTCTGCATTTCAGTTAAAGGATACCTGAATGTAGATAGGTATTTCAAATGTCAGGCATTTGGACACTTTCATAGAAAATGTGATAAGGAAATTATTTGTACCAGCTGTTTTCAGAAGAGTCGCAATCACTGGGAATGTAAAATCGACCCAGAATGTGTAAACTGTAAAAATGCGAACTGTAAATATAAATTAGACTTGATCACACAAATTGATTGAAATCTGGCTTGATTACGCCAGATTACACAAAACGTTAGAAATTACCTAATAGGTAAGGCAAGCTTAAATATGGCTCTTACACTTAAAGTCAAATAAATGAATAATAAAAGTTATAACAAATCTAATTTTGCTTGTACGTCTAAATTTTTCGTTATAGCAATATTTATACGTAAGCCTTATCTTCTGACTTTTAATGAATTCTGAAATATTTGAATAAATTTATTTTCTCTTGCACTTAAGATTAAAAAACACTCCAAAAAACTAGTGGGCCAAAGATTTAACTGCAAGGGCGTTTTCGTATTTTTCCCGTATGTAACTTGAATATATTCCTCCCCTTAGGCAGATAACTGTTCCATATTTTGTAATATTCGAAAAACAGCAACGCAGGGATTCAAGACAGAAACATTTTCACCACTTTCTTAATGCTAAAAATATTTTTTCAATAATGACGGGCACTTGCCTATAACGGCATTGTCCATTATGAAGGCCAGAGGTGGTGGCCATTTTATTGTAGAGGCACCTAATAGGCGGCCACCGATACCATCTTATGAAGAGACAGAGAATTTTACATCCATGCCTTTTCCGGGATTCGAAACCGAGCCCTTCGTATCGTAGTCAGGCTCCCCTAACCACAATACCGTCTAGGCGGCTAAAAAGCAAATAAATAAATAATGGGATTCGGCATCATCTTTAAACGATCAGATAAACGAGGCTGTAAGAAACATATTTTACAATGCTTTCGAGCATGTGTTATTATTTTAAATCCTTCCCAAACTGTCACTGCTAATGCAAAGCATACGCATCGTAGTCTTCGATATAATAATAATATGCATTGCATGAGGTTTTTTTATGTTTGCATTTTTATCTTTGAGGCAGAAATTCTGCAACAAAAGTTTACATAACATGCAACTTGGCAGTAAAGCGGGTAACTTTGCTAGCTGAGCAAAATCTAAAACTTATCGTAACTGGTGACATCGGTACTTCACTGTTATTTATTTATTAAAATTTTCCAAGGTCTTTATACATTTCCAGTCAGTTTCTCTTATAATAAATTTCCGGGTATAGAAAATACATTTTAACTTCCCTTCTCCATTTTTAGATCGAGATTTAACTTTATTAAGCATTCTGAAGAAACATTTAGTATCAATATCAGTCTTTTCTATAAAAACAAAACTTTAATAACTACTCAAGATTAATAACCTTTCTGAAGCATAAAGCACTTGCCCAGAAATAAAATGTATTCCATTTTACAAGTGAAAATTCATCGCATTCGAGGTTTAAAGATCAGGTTTGGTCAAATAACATTCAAAATATTAGGAAATTTGATTGTTGGAGTTCTTCACATCTTTAATTCCTATTGCTTGAATTTACTGAGAAACTTATACACAGAATTAATGCTGAAATTTTACATACTGAGTGAGGCAATTTATTGGTAATAGAAACGTGTTTCCTTTAATGTTTGGCGTATCTTGATAGAGTAATTTTTTATTAACGAATTTTAATCCAGAATTTTGCCTTTACATTCTAAATCTGATTCTTAAAAAATTAATTCTTGTTATGATTTCATTATTAAAATACTGATGATGAGGTTAGTAAATATTTCTTATCAAAAATTCTTTGTGGATGTTTTTCTCAACCAACAACTTCTCTCAAAACTGTAGTCACAATTGTATAGTTTTAATTAAAAAAGTATTTTCAAGAAATGTTGGTTTTAATGATGATTTCAGCAGGAATACGAACTAAATTTCGTGTTTTGATAAATCCGAATCATTGCTAAAATTAACAATACACACTTTTATAATTTCCTTATATCTTTGTACTACCTATTACAGATGGTTGAACTACATCTGGTCTTTCCACATGATACCTGAGCATGAAGCTCTTCATACCGCAGCAGAATGCCAAGCCGGTTTACAGGTGAGCTAAGCAAATATTAAAATAAGTATATTTTAGAAATAATTGTAATCATCCTTTCTTCTTAATTTCTTCATGTAAATGTCCACCGAATGTTCCTTCAAATTTCAAGTAGTATACTATCAATTTATAAGGAGTTCATGAATCCTAATAACTTCGGATGCTTAACATCCAAAAGTACTACTCTTAGAAATTAGATAAAGAGCTTAGGTCACCTGTCTGTAAGAAACTGATTCCCTAAAATCCCTTTTAAAATTTATATTATGTCACTAAGCAAAAATGTCCCTGTGGATGATTAGAAAATTCTTAATTTCTCATGCTCAGAAAATGCTGGAATATATTAAGCTGACAAAGGATATACAAACCTTGGAAAAAGCTTATTAGCCAAAGGTTAGTATGAAGTATGCATTAAACGAATCAGGTAGACGTAAACCTAACACTAAGGACTTGTTTAAAAGGAAGAAGAACATCTGCCTCATCGGCATAACACAGAATAAAGTTAAAAAACTATAAAATTCTAATAAAAAGCTATATGAGTTTCGTCTACTAAAATCAGTTCAAGATTAAATTAATACAGTAGAAATATGGGAATATTCAAAATGCCAAGCTAGTTGCATAAAACATTTCGCCGGGTAACAAAAATAGAAAATAAAGTAGCGCGAGGCAACGGTAAATCGATTGTTCCTTTCTTAAATGTCACCTGTTATATAACATTTGCTACAACATACATTGAATTAAATTTCTGAATTTTAGTTAGTTGACTGACCAATTCTTTTCATATGGATGCAGACAAAAAAAAAATGCTACACTACGTTTGTTAGATTTTTAACTCGAGGTGGTCGGTTCATTAACTGGTTTTCGCCAAAGCCAGCCGTTTTTTTAATGCTTTCCTTTGTGTGACGTGTTTCTGTAGGAAACTGAATTGTACTAACATTACACTTGGAGAAGAAAACAAATCCCCGCTACAACCAGCATCCTCGTCGCGAATTGATCCTGGGAAGAGAGAAGTTGTACTATTTACTCAGGGATTGCGGCCCCTGGATCTTAAAACGAAATAAACGTTTCCATAAGCCAGTGCGAGGATCTGCAGAGATTTTCAAAAGATAATGCAAATTTCATCTGGGAGTATAGATAAAAATTAAACAGATTAAATGTTTGAAACAATAAAAGATTAAAAGGTTAAAAGTTTAACAATAAAAGGTTAAAACAATAAAAGGTTATAATTTTAAGGCTGACAGAAGCTCTCTAAAATATTAAACATCACACATAAAACAGTTTTTGAATACAATTTTCTAATGCCATTAGGAAAAATCTTAATTCAGAAGCAAGGCAGAGTTACGCTCTTTGCTCAGACGTGCAGGATTGCTGCCATGGAATGTACCCGTAAGGAGGAGGTAATTTTGGCTCCCAGTCACCTCTTTTTAAAAAAACATATTGCTGTACTTCTGATTTTCCTGCGTTATTTGCTGAAAATGTTTTTCCATAATAATTAGATCTAACCTTCTTTGTGAACTATTTTCAATTACATCTAGTTTTAAAATTAAATTTCATCCTGATTGCTAACTGTATTCTGTCAAATGTATTCTTCGTCTTCTGGGCATAATACTCTATTATTATTCGTTAAAAACTTAAACTGAATTTCTGAGCTAAAATATTAAACAAATTTTGAACTTTTCTTCATTTTGTAAAGTTCTGCTATGTCTGGAAGCTAATCTCAATGTCCCACAGACCCGATTAGGCTGCAAAGTGAGTTTTAGCTTTAGCCTGAAGCAAATGATCAAGTCGTAAGAAAGTTCAAGGAACCTTTTTCTTTAACTCTCAAATGAACAGAAAGCACTACATGTGCTACAGATGAACTTCCGCTACTTGCGTGCATTTAACATAACATAAGATGATGTTAAATTTAATATAGGTAACACAGTCTGAGACTACACACCAAATAGACTACTTAAATGGCTCATGATAATTAACGGCGCGTATTTTAAACGTCGGGTGGTAAGATGTTAAATTCAGAATAAAATTTTGGCAGAGTTGGGCGATAGTACGGTAGTAGAAAGACGAGGCTGCCAGAAGCTCTCTAAAATATTCAAACTCAAAATGTAAGTTAGTTATTAAATGCGCAGCAACTAACTTACATTATGGTGAGGATTACGGAACGAAAAAGTAAAGATTATAATCATAATAATTAACATAAAATCCTACAATTGTTTAAATAAAAACATTTATTGGATCATAGAAATTAATAATTTTAACGTTGTAGTGCATTTCACGTTATTTCCAATTAATAAAAACCTTTCTAGTCTATCTCTAACAGATGCAATCTCGGTAGTTTTGTTACGTGCCGTTACGCTGACTTTAGGAAGTTCTTTGGTAGTTTCAGATCATCAACTAATGTATTTTAAATTTTTTTATCGAGTACTGATATTTTACATAGCATATGAAGTTTTAAAATCATCTACTTTCATTTTTCGGTTTCAGGTGCACATGGCATATGGAGCACTTATAGAAGGACTGATAACATTGATTAGTCGAGTGGTTGCATTAGAATCTGCTTTTTGGACAGCTGAACTAATGATATCATCAAACGCCATAGTGACAACGATTCTAGTTTTAGCAGGTATACGTTTGAACCGAAATATTTTCCATGAAATTATTTTCAGTGAAATTATTTTCAGTTTATGTTGACAACAGAAAATTTTATATTCAAAAAGGAAATTTTTATTAATTTTAATACATTGCACTTTCAGTTTGGATACGTTATAATAAATGCCACTTAAACTTTTCAATGAGTAAGAATAATGTCTACAGTTCCTATAATTATACTGACTTAACAGGCAAAGAAACAGAGAGATTTGCGTTCAATACTCAGTCGAAATAAATTATAGTGGAGCCCTCGGAAATTGTAAAGTAAGTTCATCGTCAACACTGTACACAAGCAACCATTCTTTAAGCATTTTACCAACGTATCCCATCCTGAATTCGGAAAGTGTGCGGATACTCACTCTTCGAGTTTAGGATAAGGTGCGTTGTGTAAGATACTTTAAGACGTTTAAGAAGTGTTATTCATCAGAACAGTGCGTGTAAGCTCACTGTCGATGGATCTGGGAGTACAGACGCATCGACAGATAGTACTGCTGGATATAAAATATTAGAAGAGGCTGCAGAGTACATTGGAAGCAAGTTATTATCCGGCCAGTAAAGCATCTGCGAGTACAGGAGCATCGACAGACAATACTCCGGATATAGAATATGAGAAGAGAATACAGAGTAGATTGCAAGCAAACTATAATCTTTTTGCCCAGCCGTGTGTCGCCCTAGTTTCTCTTTATTATGGTTCGCGTTTTATGGCGTTAAGTATTTAATTTCATATATATATTTCTTCTTCACGCCTTGAGTTTTATTATTCCTGTGCAGCATGTTTCAAAAATTAAACATTAATGTCCTTTCTGTAGGAAAGAATATTCTCAGGGGTAAAACCAAATTCTGTGTGCGGTTAAGAACAAGGAAGAGTAAATGTATGTAACTTACAGCGATCTTTGTTGTTTGAGACAGTAAGCAGCTACCTACGGCTACTTCACAGTAACAAAAATTATTAACCTAACACATTTTTTCTTAAAGTTCTTCATTGGCTACGTAGAAAACGGCCGAACCATAACTGTAACTGAAACTCCTACAACAAAATCTGGATGGCGCGTTCCACATTCGAAGACGCTGAGTGGAGGCTGCGGTAGAAGAAGTTTCCATTCAGAACGTCACTTTTTTTTAATCTTTATGTATTATTCAAAAGATCCTCCAAGTCCTACAATTGTACAGAGCGACACATCAGATAAAATAATAATTGTTTTAGGGTTGGAAAAAACCCTGAAATATTTAATTCTAAATTTTATTACATTAGCACTGAGTTGATAATTTAACTGCATTACTTTGATCATATCTCTGGAACTCAATTAAAATTTTTTCAAAATTCGATAATAATTTTTTAGACTTTTACCGTTTATTCAGTTATTTTCAGGAGGAAAAACACTCAAAGTACTGGTTTAAAATATGTAGGTTCATAGTTTACACAACACATACTAAACTAAAAATATGAAAATAAAATACACAAATTCTATAATTAAATTAATTTAAATAACTAAGTATACTTTCTGGTTTAAATAATTCTTAATGAAACATGGTAAATTATAAGGATGTTTTATGAAATATTTTTATGAAATTATCTTTACCTTAATTTGCATCAATGACGTCTTCTGTGGTGAAAAAATCAGAAAGTTAAGTCTCTTGAAACAGGTTTTATCCCAGGTTTCCAATTTTTTAACTCGGACATTGAAGAAAAAGTACTTCCCTGCCCTTTTAATTAAAATAAAAGTTTTCTTTTCCATTCTGCAGACAAGAAGGGTATACAAAACCCTTTATTTTTCTCTCTTTACAATAATTTCCGTACTTCGGAATACAAAGACCCACTACTTGTGGTCTAAACGTAAGAATATAAAAATATAACTAAACTCTAACTTAACTTTGAAATAATAAACGTGGAAGATTGGCCTTATATTAACAGGAAGCCGTATGTAGTACAGAGAACTGTTAACACTACAATACGTTTAAAATTATCAAGAGGATTAAACCTCTGGCCTGGAAGGCAACCAGCAACTGAGTAAAACTTCTAAGGTAAGCGGCCTGCTTCGACTAACTCCTTTCCTCTCTCTCGCTTGGCAAAAAGCCACCACAACACTTAAGTACTTGGCGTTCGCCAGACAAATTTTGCATAAATAAGTTAACGCTTTTAATTCTGGCCGGAAGTAGAAAATAAGAAGTGATAGTAAAGATTTAAAATAAAATAAGCGTTAGTAAAACTTAAGATCCTTACAACTTCACTAAAATATTCCAAGTGCATTTTTAAAAGTATTCATTTAATTTTGCTCTCATTCTCAGAGAATTTTTGCAGAGAAAGAAAAACTTGGATATTAAGCATACTTAATAATAGTAAGCTAATGATAATCTGAAATTTCCCTCACTTTCAGTAATGATTGACAGTGTACCAAAATTTTCATCTAGAGAAAAATTAAACCATAAATTTAGTTTCATTCAACAATATTTAAATTTTCAAATCAAAATTGCATTTTTAAATGTTTTAGATGAATTATGTGTTTCTAATATATTACTTATTTCTAGTGTTAATTTAGAAGTCGAACAACAAAAATCAGCGTTATATTTGCAAATTTTCACAGGACTTGTTTCGATTGTTTTACCGAACCATCATCCTCAGCTGCCAAAGCGCAAATGATGAGGATGATGGTTCGGTATAAGGATAGGCTGAGGATAATGGTTCGGTAATAATTTTTCGGCGTGTTATTTTATCTGAATTATTTCTAGTGTTTACAAACACTAGAACCACTGTTATGATTTGATAGTGATGTGACAGAATATTTACATATATGAATTCTTTACTTATCTTTATCATTTGCATTCTTACAGAACACTTTTAGAAAGTTAAATTAACAAAAACAAAGTTTTATTATTATTTTCCTATACACATTATACAAAGTTTTATTTGGGATAAAATTTTCTGAAGCTTGTAAAATTTTGCCATTTTTTTCTTTTCTGCCTCTATCAATTATAAAAATGATGACTCTATACCTAAAATGCATATATACACACACACACATAATTTTCTGATTTTCCCAAAATTATTTAATAAATGTATCAAGACATTACTTACTCAGGTTCCCAAGAGTGGGTATAATTTCTATTCCGTCATTGTTTACATCCCCAGTTAATTATTTACAGTATATGCTTGGTTCGTTATGCATACATACAGAAATCTATACAGATATACTGATCAACACTTATGAAAGGGATCTCTGTGTATATCCTAGGGGCTTTATAACTATGTAGAAAAAGCATTGCAAAAGTGTTTCCTACAGAATTAATATAATGTATTTATTTATATTAACTGAAAGACACAATTCGTTATGAACAATGTTCTTACCTAGGAATACCCAGGAATCTGTTTTTAGAGTTCTTTTCAGTTACGTTAGATATAAGAGTAACAACCAAATGGTAAAAATGGACTTTAGAACTAGCGCTGTTCACCCTAACAAAATCATTAAATAATTACTACGACTGGGTTTTAACAGCCACTTTGTACACAAATTTTAATGCCCATACATAATCAAATCATACTAGAAGTATTCATACCTTATAACTCTCAAATACAGCATCGATTATCCACGAACACATGAAAACAGCCGACGTTAAACTTTCAAAGCATGGAAACATGGGAAAATGTTGAATGCTTTGGTTTGACTGGCTGCAGTATGCTACTTTAAAATGGTTGAAAAACTGGACTGCGGCGATTTCATCAAACTCAAGTGCACTATAAAAATCAAGTGAAATATTTTGCTATTATATATACAAACTCTTACTTTAAATCACTAAATGGTGCAACATTGAACTGAATTTTTTTACAGTAATAACCGAATAAATGACAAGTTACTAAAAATGACAGCTTATAATGCAATACATTGCTGCAAAACCACCTTCTAAATTCTTTTAACACACTTCTGAGCTGCATAGCTATAAAAAATTACATATCTGTAGATAACTATCTAGATGCCTCTTTCAAGAATAATTCAATGGTAACCGACTGTCTCTAGCATTCATTACTTCTTCTAATTGCTTCATCATGTAAGCGATGCGACGGAAGAAAATAAAATCTATTTCAAAAACATCTTATTCTTCTAAATAAATAGTTTCCTCACTAGCTTTCAGCCAATCAGTGTAAATCATGTCTTTAACTTCCTCATCGTCTTCTACTTTATAATATTTCTGGTTCTTCAAAGCTTTTCTTTTCATTTCAACTATTTGTCTTCTTAGAAAGTAATAATACTCAGCCTGCCTTATCTACTCATCAATATCAACATCAGCAGTTTTCTCGCAACTTTAGAATCCGCTTTCATAAGACTTGAACTCTTCTGAATTCGCTTAGAACACATTTCCTCAAATTTCAAACAACATTCTCTGAGAAAGAACATTACTTATGGCTTGAATCTCATTACAAAATCAACAGTGCTTTTTTAATCTTTCTATCATGTCATGCCCTTTCTCTAAATGAAACTAACAATGAAGGAGTTTTACCCCAGTACGTCTTCTTCAGTATTACGATAACCCTTTGATTTATTGCCTGACGTAATGAAATTACACATGAGGAAAGAAAAAAGACTTTAGTATTTCTGTGCCGCAAATGTTCTGCATCAGGGTATGAAGAGACATTGCCTAGGACGAGAGCTGCTTTCCGTGGTATATTTTTACATTTCTTAAACTTTTACACCAAGAAAACAAAGGAAACATGTTGATAAAACCAGTCCCTGGATCTAGATCCATATATTCACGCATTTGATTGGCTTCTATAACGAACAGACAAGCCAATGTATGCATCGCTCTTACTTTGTGCACGTTTTTTGTGGTTCCATATATTTATGTATTTAATTGGCTTATATAACCAACAGACAAATTGCTGTATGCATTGCAATTACATTGTGCACGTTTTTATATTTTTAGATGCACAAGAATTTCTAAAAGCATATTTTCAGTTAGCTTTCATCTGTTACGTTACTGCATACCAAGATCGTAGAGCTATTTCTTGTTTTTATAGTCTAAAAGAGGTTCCTCATCTAGACATGAAAATGTTCTTGAAAGCGATATTCGGAAATTTAGGTGAATTTATAGCCGAAGCCGCAGCTTTCACAGCAGCTTGAAATTTAGTCTTTAGAGAGACCCTCTTTTTAATGAATTTGTAAAATGTTCTTAGACTCACAAATATTTTGAAGTTCGGCGGAAAGATTTTCTCCACGAATGCTCAGCTGTCTGACTCCCTGTTCCTTTTTCCACCACTTGAAGTAACCAACGTTTATCGTAAACCCAGAATGTCGTTTGGCAGATTAATTATACAGTTTAATGGCTTTATCTTATAATTTAAATCTTGCATTAATTGTTCCTTACTCTTTTATTTACTGAAACCATAATATATGATTCCCTCGCTCTTACATGTTCAACTATTTTCGTACATTACTTTCCCTTTAAACTTTCATTGTAAGATCTCTCCACACACCGAGACTCGGTTTCTGATCTTTTCTTTTCTCAACTACTAGTTCTTATCTGTCAACACATGTATAAAGTGCTAACCATCCAGAGTGCTACATTATGAAGGAAGCATCGGAACAGCATGAAACTTACACCATGTGTGTATCGCGACTGAATATGCAAATAATTATGATTTCAGCGCATGCACAGATCATGGGCGAATGCAGCATTCCTTACAATCCACATATTTAGGGAAGCAAGATTGCTGTTTTGAATAACGTGAATTGTTCTTTCGTAAGATATTTTTTCGTAACAGTTCCAGTATGCTCATAGGAAAACACGAGCATCATTCCAGCACCTTTCTGAGTTCGACCGAGACAGAATCGTAGAATAAAGAAATTGCGGATTATCCTTCCGGAAAATCGGTCATCGTGTCGGACGTAACCAAGCAACAGACATGGGAATAAGGAATCAGTAGATGCAGGAGGGAACAACTGACGGACAAGAGAATTTGCAACCGCCTCTTCACACTACTCCACAGGAAAGCAGGCATATTGTTCGCATGGCATTGATGAAGAGCACTGCCATATTCGAAACCATATGACAACGAATGCAATCCGTAACCCAACAATCAGTGTCTCCAAGAAAAATTCGAAATCGTTTACAGTACAATGAGTTGCCCGCTAGGTGTTAATTGCGTCGCTTATCTTTAAACCACAGACGTTTGTGTTTGCAATGTTGCACTTAATGACGAAGATGGACATCCGAATGCCATAACAATGTGTTTTCGGACGAATCGCACTTTTGACTGCAGTACCATGATAGTCGGATTAGTTTGGAGATATCGTGCAGAAAAGCTTCTCGATTGTTGGGTTATGCATCGAATTGGTCTTGTATCCAGTATTATGGTGTGGGCTGGAAATGGTTTCACACCCGAAGCCGTAGTACGCATTATCCGTACAATTACCAGCCAAAGCTACATCTGTGAGGTTTCGCAGCCTGTTCTGCATCTTTAGCTTCAGGGCTTGCCTGAGGGCACATAACAGGACAATGCGCCCCCACATGTTGCACGCAATGTTCAAGGTTTCTTCTTAGCCAATCGTATTGCATGGTTACACTGGAAAGCCCATTCTCCAGATCTATCGCCCATTGAACATGTCTGATCAATGACTAGAGAACAGCTAGTGCGGCATGCTGCACCTGCTGGTACACCAGATGAACTTTGGTAAAGTGTGGAGGCAGCATGTGCTGCCATTCCCAACAGCACATCCAAACCCTCTTTTGCTCAACGCCGCGGCATGTAGCAAGGTTATTGACAAACGTGGATGCAACACTCATTACCGGCTTTTTTTCTCTTCCTCACCTCAGAGAAGGCTGTATTGATATACAAATCAATACATTGAAACTATGCGTAAACTCTGAAATAAATTTATCTTTGATATCTGTTGTCCTTCGTGTTGCATTTTGGATGGCTAGCAGCCTATATATGTATTGAATAATTACGTGGAAAATGAAGTAACGAATCTCCTTTGAGTTAGGCTTACTGACACAATGTTTAAATTAAGAGTGAGGAATGGGATGACAAAGAAATAATTAGAATTTCTTACAATAATGCAAAAAATTAAACTTTGCAAAATACAAAGATGAGGGCTAAAATAGATGAGAAAATGATTTCAGGCAGAAGCAGAAAATAAAAAGGTAATAAATTTAAAAAGATGAAAAATCAAAATTTAACATAATGGAAACAAACATATATTACAGGAAAAATTATAAGCAAGAAAGATTTAATTAAACTTATTTCATCAGGAATGCTGAAGGCAGTTAAACGACTCAAATCCATAAATGGTTTATGTCAAACTCAAAGCAGTGTTCTTGATATTTAATTATATACATATAGCAGAACTTAGATTATTCGAAATTTATTAACTTGATGTCTTGTATTATTCGAACTGAATGTTTTCTGCAGAATGCAATATTTCTACAGTGACGAAAAACTATTGTTAACACATCTCAGGAAATCGAATTTTTTTAACAAAGTATTCTAGAAGTCGCAATAATCTCAGTAAATCGAATTTCTTTAACACAAAGTATTCGAGAAATCGCAAGTTTTTTCAGCATGATGCTAACTATTTATTTGTATTTCCTTCTCGATAGCCCGAAGCCGTATATTGACACTTGACAGAGATCATGCTTCAGTCTCATTTTTAGAATCCAAACAAAATAATTTTTTCTGCCTCAGTTTTATGAGCCTTCAAGCCATCCGCACAATTATTAGTACTCTCGCTATTATGAAGATTTAAAAATGCTCAATAAAGAAAACTGAAATAAATTTTACTAATGCAATCTAAGCTTCTATTTGAAATCAAGGGAAGCTCAGCTATTTTATATTTTGTAATTTTCTATGCTTTAAAATAACTACTATATTCCCCCTCCCCCAAATCTGTTCCGAAAATTTGCAGTACTGTTTTCATATTTCTATGCTTTCATGTAAGAATATACAACCAAATGCAAATGTTCCCTGTTCTCCATCTAACCATATGATTTTATCTCATTATCATTTTACTTTGTATGTTTCTAATGTACTATTTAAAAGATTTAATTTGTTAATCTTAATTCTTTTACAATATTTCTCATACATTTCAATAGTTCATTTTTTAATGTACGTAATAATTTTTCTCTCTTGCTTTATCAAATATAGTGCTATGCGTATCTACATGCACTGGTTATCATTAATTAAGAAAAATCACAAAAATCACGATTACTCAAAAAGTTAGATGTAAAATTTAATGAAACTGTCTCACAATGTACAATGCGTAGTAAAGTATAAAATAGCATGAAAAAAAATTGCCAGACGATTAAGGTATTAAATTAGCATATGAATAAAATGAACAATGCATCTGTTTGGTGTACGAAAATTTCCTTCAATATGGACTATGATCTCCCCTTCGAGCAATACAGCACATACAGCAATATGGGATGCTGCCAATTATGCGGTCTATTCCGTAGAAAGTGAGAGCCATTGATCTTGCACGCTTACAAATGTGGGAGCAAGAGCACTGAAGTTTCAAAGCAGTTGCAAGGTTGTGAAGAGGAGGACTGAGAGCAGCTCATACGTCGTTCTCAAGCATCCCACTTATGCTCGATAGGATTCAGGCCCGGTGATCGACCTGTCCATTCTATGCGCTGAACTGTATGCTAATCAAGATAATCACCCACAAAGCTAGCCCTGTAAGGTCTACAGTTGTCTTCCTGTAGCAGAAAATCGCCGCCTATTGCCCCAGCATAAGGGCGTGCACAATCATCAAGAATGTCAGCTCTAACCCTGAGCATTCATGGAAAGACATGGAGGTCTGTGCGTCCAACCCGAAAACATACCACCCCAAACAAAGACACTGCATCCTCTGCAGGCATCTCTTTCAAGGGTATTTGATTGATGATAACGGGTTCCAGGTTCACCACAAATCAAATTACGCCTACTATCGCTTTGGAAACTAAACCAGGACTCATCCGTAAAGAGAACAACCATGCACTGATCAGTCATCCAGTAGACATGTTGACATGCCCACTTGAAACATTCCCTTCTATGACGTGACATGAGCAGCACGCAAATGGCTGATCGCCTCGCGTAAAGACCTCCTTCGTGAAGCCTTCTATGCACAACTGATGTTGACAGCAACCTTTCAGTGGCTGCAGCAAGGGAGAATCTGAGTTGAGTCAGAGTTACGATTCCATTCCTTTGTGAGCTTAACAACAAATATCAGTCATCAGCGCTCGTCGTACTGGTTGGGCTTCCTTGGCTGAATTTCCTGGATTCCAAATCTGTGGTTGAAAATTATTGCCAAAGCCTATGAATCACAGAAGGATTCACGTTCAGCCATCTGGCCACTTCTGTCTGATTCTGACCTGCCTCTAGTCTCCCAATAACTCTCCATCGAGTTCTTCCGGCAAATGATGCCTGTAGGTCATTGTTAGGATTCGGCTATCCCAGATTTCTTATCTCAGCATCCCAGCGAAATTTGGAGGCTTGCTCTCAAACATGCTATTTTATGCTACTCGCAGATGATTTATTCCGATTGCAGCTCCGCTAATTTGCATACGGCAGTTTTACTCAGCAACTCTTATTTGAAAACATATGCAAATTTTGGTTTATTTTTTAACTATTTATCCATTTTTTGTGATTTTTCCTTAATTTTAGAAAACCAATGTAGAATACCATGCACTTTTAGGCACAGATTTTAATGAAGTTATCATCAAATCGAATTTCCGATTACCGAAATTTTTCCTGCTTGCTACTTTTAGTTTCGGCTTAGCGAAGTTTGACTGAAATAATATTTGCATCACATACTTTCTTGAAATAAATTTAACTTGTCCCTTCAATATAAAAACGTTTTCTTTTTCTTCTGCAGCTACAAGCACTACAGGAGGTTTCTTCAACCCTGTCTTAGCTACTGCATTGACACTGGGCTGTAAAGGCAACACTTTAATGGAACATATCGTTGTATACTGGATTGGCTCACTTGTTGGGGGTTTTATTGGTCGATATTTGTTTGAAATACGTTTTAGCTCAAGAAAAATAAAAGAGCTTTAATAATGACGAAGAGCACACAAATGAGAATAAGACGTTGCTCAAATATTTTTTCTGACTGAGTGTGCCTAATATAAGTAAGACATCCCATTGTTAAATAAATTGTATTTTCTCTTTTTAGGCCTCAAAGTAGACATAATTGAATATATTTATTGATTAAATAAAGCGGTAAAAGGTAATTTATATTTTTTCCACTCACAAAATGCAATGGAGAACTAAGAATTACTTTTTCTCATAACGAAAGATTATAACCTATATTGTCACGCAGGTGTGAATCTTATTTGTAAAAATATGCATTCTAGAAATATTATTTCAATGATATATTTTGTGTCAATATTTATCATCTTTTCAATTTCAACCTCTACCTGGTCTCTACCTTACCGTGATATTTAGGATGTCAAAATATCTTCTATATTCGGCATGACTATGAGAAGTAATAGATAAAAAAGGTCTTAAAGCGTATAAAATAAGTACGGTCTTTAATCGTGTAAACTTACAAATGAAAGCATTTCCAAAATGAAGTGCGAATATTTCTCTTAAATATAACCCATTCATTTTTTAACATGGACACAAATGAGTGCTAGACATTTTACCAAACGTGTGATCCACCTTTTTCATTCCATTCATAAAGAAGGTTTGTAATTTGAGCCATATGCGCTCAAAATATTTGACTTCCGTATTAAATGAAAGCGCTGAGTTTTAAACACGTCTTTTAAGTTTCGGAACAATCAAAAATTGAACGATGCAAAACCAAGACTACAAGAAGTATGTGGAACAAGCGTGCATTCAATGCTTCAATTACTTCTAATGTTTGCTGACTAGTACGACTGATCATGTTGGGGGGGCGAACGTTTTTGAGCTGATTCTGCGGATATGCTGTTGTTTTAATACTTGTAAGATTTCACAAGACCTTTCGGTGTGAATCATTGCTTTGTTAAGCAAAAGTTCCCTGTAAATCACGTTTTTTGCATTTCAAGAAATTGTGAGCATTTCTTTATGTCCTGAGTGAACTATTCTGCATTTCTTAATATTGAAAGGACCTGCATGACGATATTCCATGAATTTCCTTTTTTCGCATTCTTACAGCGATCATCATAATCATACATTTATGAATTTCGAGCTGTGTGTAACCTTCTAGTGTCAAACCTGTGTTACTGTCGTTGCTTTCGATACAGTACAGAGGAATTAATCAATGGAGTTAAACAATAAAATGAAACTAAACTGATTTACACCTTATAGTTGCATTTACTTAAACAGGTAAAGGCAATTAAACAATGAGATTAAACTAAGCTCATTTAGTTCTAATAGTTGCATTTACCAAGCAGGTGTATGTAATTTTCTACACCAATCGCCAGGGGCGCTGTTTGTGCATAAATCATCAAATTCTTCAACTAAATTAACCCGAAAAGTGATAACCAGTCAATCATTTGTTTGTTTTTCTTGGAAAATGATTTCTGTAATTTAGTCCAACAAATTTCTCTAGAGCAATGCTCATCTCATGAAAAAGAATGAGCAGAAAAACAAAATAATTTCCTTAAATCGCATGTTCCTTCCGTTAAAGAAGATCCATATTATATTGCAACCGTGCCTTTACCAAGTATGTGGTTTTTCACGTGAAAAAGTCAAATTATGCTTATAATGCGAGAAAAACATTACATTAATGCATAGTAAGACAAATATACCTTTTCATATTGCTGCTACATTGGAAGCAATGCAAACAAATATATTTTGTTATTTAATAGATATAAATTACGTTTAATAAATTTCATTACAAATGTCTTTTGTAAATATCTTTTACAGTCAACTTAAGACACAATCAAAAGCGTAGGAATTTGGAAGTACCTGCAAAATGAAATACATGCAAACATGAATATTTAAATTTGGGTATAATATTTTCTTGGTGTAAAAGGAAATAAAATGCTTATAAATTAATTTTATAAAGAAAAAAAAGATGTAATAAAGACATTTTCTTATATATGTGTATAATTTTTTTTTGATATTCCTTCAGCCATAATCAGTCGCTTCACAGAAAGTGGTGGTATACACGAAGATCTTACACGTTCTACATCCATTTTCCTTTACATATTATTTTAAGCATTTTTTAGCTTAAAATTTTTTAGCTTTTTAAACACAGCGGTGCGCTAGTTAACAAAAGCAGATTTCTCAGGAATGAAGAGCGGTTCGAATAAAGGATGGATGTCTGTGACTATTGTATCTCTTCCTAGTAGCGTATAAAATCTGTCATCTAAAACAACTCTTATAATCGTTGGTAGGAGAGGAGCAGCAAACTAGACTTTCGGATACTATTACTGAAGTTTCTTGATCTAAAGACGGATATCGTGGCATGTAATATGTGATACTCTCGCACATTGTACCTATTGTCAGTAACCAATAACAGATAACTCATTTCTCCTGCCCATTATAATTATTCATCAAAGCGTGCATTCTTAATTATTGAAATAACTATTTTGTAAAGTTGTGAAATAATCTCACAGTTTTGCAAAGTAGATGTTTTTTTCTAAATTACTTTATAATTCTAACTGAAATTTCGAGTAATAAAATTAATTTATTAGAAGCGAGGGTTTAACAATTTACGATCACATTTATGATATTCGATTTTTGCTCAAATAGTGGTCAGACAGTGGCTAGACAGAGTTCGGGTAGTAGTCTGATCTCTCTTAACCTCGCCTCAGTGAGCTGCTGAAAGCTAGCGAAAGGGATCTGTAACCATGCATCTCACAAGTAGCGTTCAACGAATAAAAAAACGTTGATGCAAGTACGAGTTATCATAGATGGTATTCCATAGCTTTCTGTAAATATATGATCAATTGAGTGTGGGAGTCACTGCATATGCCTCCCTTTTACACCTCTAAATAATTACTATTAATTTAAGCTCAGAATGACTGTCAGAAGAAAAACAAAAGATTCAAGCATTTTATATGGTAAATCTGGTGCTCTTAAGGCTTTTAATTAAAAATTTCTTTTTAATTTAAAAGCCTTAAGAGCACCATTATTTTGCTTTGTGTTTGAAATTAAGTACATAATTGTTACCATTACTTCGAAAATTTACTTTTCACTTTTAATGCTGTTTTAATCTACTCAGTTATTAATTTAAAACTCACTATAAATACACGCTTAAAAAATTACATTTGTTTGCAAAAAAGGAACTACGCTTTACCCTATGCAAATAATCAGAAGGGGGTTGGTAGCCCTGGAATTCTTCAGTTTTTGAATATTGATATAAAATGCGTACATTCAGCAAAAGTGTCCTTGCATGCAAGCATTCGAAGATATTCCATAAGAAACGTTGAAAAAGTGTGAAATATAATCCCCGAAGAGGGTATTTATCAATTGGAAAAGTAAAAAGAGTAGCTCTTCGCTATTGTGTAACATGAAGTATTACAGAATATTGAGTGAAAATTACGAAGTAAACATGGCATCAGAATGAAAAACATTATTACAAAACTGAATAGAGGAAATCAAAAAAAGGAAAATAAAATAAAATGGGATAAAACGAATGCAAAGTATGATGCAAATATTTAAAAAAGTTTCAAAATTGGCACATGATAAGAATGCAATATAATATATGCAATATAATGTATATAATGCAGGGTAATTAAAAAATATCAGACAAAAGTGTAAATGCGTGTAGAGGAGACCGAAATAAGCAGATTATGTATGGAATGCATGTGCTAAAAGGGGGCGTTTAGGTTAATACAAGATGCTGTTGAGCGGTAGGTAAATGAGCTCCCTTATTGTCATTGCTTGTGTTGAATTCGAGAGATACAAACTGCTACACGACCGTGAAGCTCACCGATGTAAATTTTATCAATAGGGGCAGAGGGCAGAAATGAAGCAACTGCTCAAAAGAAGTCCAGAGAGCGATTTCCAAGCATCTCCTCAGAGCAACTGCTCCGTTTCTGTCGGTAGTCACATTTTAATTTCACATGGTTATTATTCGAATAGAAGTTTTCTGTGTGAAGAATACCCTTTTTCTTTAAAAAATAGAATAACCGTTTTTTCATTTTTCTGCAGATCCCAAACTGTGAAATCTAACTGCAGTAACAAAACGAAACAAACAGAAATGATAAATAAAATGGTTAAATTTTATAAGGAAAAACATTTATTTGTGCGAGCGTTGATTGCAAAGACAATATTCGCCAGTAATGTAGCCAAACAAAATTGACGACACTTGAAGACCAGGAAATACGCTAAAAAATGTGCCAAGTGGTATAAGTTTAAGTGTAAACTACCAGTTTTTCACCAAATCGGTTATTTTAAAATTTAACATAGAATTGGAGTTTTCCATGAGATGAAGAAGCGATTATTCTGTTTGTTCAATAAATATTTGTTCAGCAAACAGGGATTCTTCATGAAGAAAGCCTATGTTCGAATAACTTCCCCATGAAATTAAAATGCGTGCAAAGACGAAATGGTTCTGTAGCCTGTAGAGTCACTTAGAATTTCTCAATGTCAGGAAACTGAAGAAATGAGCAGTGCCCTCTCCGGGACTCGAACCCTGGACCTCTCAAATACACGCCGAGTGTGCTACCGTTACACCACGAAGGCATGCAGAAAAGAGGGAGAAAATACCTTGTAAGCCTTCTCCGGTAACTGTATATATATATATAAAAAAAAAAAAAGAAAAGAAAAGAAAAAAAAAAAAGATGGTTGAATACAAACCTAATTTTCTAGATCACGCATTTCTTTTGTCACTGCCTCATGATTAATTTACTTATAGCGTCATTAGTCAACATCTGTTCAGTTTTGAGAACCAAAGCTTGATTCACTTCAATCACAAGCTTTGACTTCAGAAATTACATAAGGGAACATGTGCCAATTCCCTTTTTCCCAATGTTTTCCTAGCTTTAAAATCTATGGATGCAACAAACTGTCAAAAATAGTGAGCCCTTAGGCACAAAACGAAAACAAAAGAAATTGCAGACCGCGTTCTTTATACAAAACGGGTTTCGGAAGGATTTTTTTCGGAAAATTAGAGAATGTTTCTTGTTGCTTTTCGACCCACCAGCAGCCGAGCGGTAAAATTCCTGAGCACAGGTAGTTCGACTCAGGAAAATCCCCGTAAATGGGCTTTCTACGTAACAGTTATAGGGGTTTACCTATCTGCAAAGCGAATACCAGCCAGTTTCCCATGGAAAGAACTCCTTAAAGGCATCTCTTCCCTTAAAAACAGGTAACTCTCATGTACTTTGTGGTAACCAGCATAATATAGTTATTGCTGTTTCCGGCATCCACTTTCGTCTAGTATGTGGGGAAAAGAAAATTCGGGCGAAAGGTCTAAACCAGTGTGCACCAAGATGACGCCAGAATGCGTGATATTACTTTAACGGAAACGTACAGGTTGTTTGAACACGGTTTTCATTTGTGAAGGACAGAAATTGTTCATTGTTCAGTGAGTGAATATTCATTATAAAAAAAAAAAAAAAAAAAATTGATTTGGAGAAAATATATCACAGAAACTTCCACCAGTCTCATTGTGACATGCTACAAGTTTATATTACAAACTTATTCATTTTTTCGAAAAGCTGTTAAGCATTCTGCTTTTCCTGCTGCCACAGTTAACATCTATATACTGTTATAGACATGTTTAATAAATACAATATATGAGTCTCGATGGATATTTGCTTTAATTTCCATTCATCGGGACATCCGAATAAAGGATGAAGAAATTGTTTTTAAATTTACTGATATACCCCACTGTGGCCCAGTGAATAAGACCGCTACGCACTAGTAATTTATTCAGCGTTCGAATCCCGGCGCTTTCCTCCCAACGTAATAAAAATAAGAACACGTTTCCCTAAGAAAGTTTCCTTAGGAGGTATTCTACCGTTGATAATTGCCGAGCGCATTATCACAATCCAACGATAAAACCAAATTGTCAGTACACTAAGGTAACCAAATTTTGTTCTGTAGGTAAAAGGAATAATTAATAACATAAACAAATAGTCGAAAATCAAATAATTAAAACAAACAATGGTGAACTTTATGTATCATAGTAAGGTTTAGTTCATTGAGTTACTCTTGAATAATTCTAAATATCTCCCGAATCAGGATTCGAGTAATAAAACTGGATGCCTGGAGCAAATACTTTTAAGGCCCCTTCAAATTTTTTTCAGCATTGTAGGTGCCAGTGATGCAAATTATATTACACGTAAAGTGCATTTCATTTGAAATATTTCATAAAACAACCCTATAATTCAACATTTTTCATTCATATTAGGCCCCCCAAAAAGTATATTTTTACCTTTTATGTTCATACTTTTTAACGTGTTAAACGTGTGTTGTACAAAATATAAACTTACTCAAAACTAACTTTTTTTTTTTCTTCTTAAGGCGAACTGAAAAGAAAAAAAGAGAAGAGCCTAAAATATTCTTATATTCATTTTGCTGCAAATTTTAACTAAAATATAGAGTTATGGCCAAATTAGTGCAATTAAATTGCTTATCAATTCAATAATCAAGTATATGAACAAAATATTATTTATTTATTAACTAATACCTGGCTTCTGGCTTTAAACCGTCAGCAGTCTTACTTCTCAGTACCTCTGGGAAACAGATTTAAAACCATTAGGAGCAAAGCATATGTTTAAATGTTCTGTGTTCCTAAGTTTTCCAGAGTCACAAAAATATTAATGTAAAAGTGAAGAACACTGAGGCAATTACGCCAATTCCAAAAGACGGAATGATGCCAAATGAGAAGAATCTTGGATGAATTAAATAGAGAATTTCAAAATAAAGCATTTTGCAAACGTAAATGAAATGATTTCTTCTGTGGGTCCTTCTGTAGTTTTATTTCCAGCTCATCTTAAAAATTAATTTTGGAATTACGAATATTTAAAGTTATTTTAAACAAAGGCTCCATTTCTAACTTTTGAAGAAAGACATAACATATTCAAATAAGATGTTGAACTTTTTATTTCAGTTTATAATCTTATACTTTTAGAGCCCAAAATT